CGCTGGGGAGATGGCTACGGACCAAGATAAGGGACTTCCTTCCGGCTCCTGACTCTGCCCCAGCATGGGCTCACTGGGCTTGAATCAGTGGCACAGTCATGAAGAAGACACTTAGGAGTCCTGAGTCCCAAATCCCCTCTTCTGAATTCTATTCGACCCTCTGCGCTGGGACACGTCTTAGCCGTTATCCCAGGCTCTCAGATTCACCTGTTGGCTTCGCTACCTTTGCTCTCTTCTCCGAGCCTGGGATGCCCCGATGTCTTTTTGGCAGGAGCCCGTGGGGTGAATCCCAGGAAACCTGTTAGCGTCCCGCCTCTCTGGCAGCCGAGCCCACAGCCCTCTAGGGACACACTGGTGAATTTGTTGTGAGCCACCAGCCTAAGCGAGCCTGACTTTGCTTAGCTGGAAAAATCCGTAATTTAAAAATAAAATCCAGCTTGTCACGTTTGTAGTTATGACGTGCTTTAAAAAATGTGACTCTGCAGCCATCTGTCTGCAGCTGGCTCCGAACTACTCAAATCACTTTGGTAACACAGAGCCCCTTTGGTCTGAATCAGGCATCGCATCCCATTGCAGCTAGCCTGCTGGGATCCAGGACGCACGTTCTGTGCAGCGCGGCAGCTTGTCTGCCAGCAGGGTGACTAGAACGGTATAGAGACGTGCTGGGGTGCGAGTGGGAGCTGGCTGAATCTCCCCACTTCGGTGGCTTGGCTTTCTTAACTCTGCCGGTGCCTGTGTCCGTTGGGAGGGGTTCTGTGCCGGCGGTGAGCCAGGCTGGTGGGAATGACTGATGGGATAAGTGGCACATGCTTGGCAGCTGCTTCCCTACCAGCTGGGCGTCTCCCCTGGCATCTTGGGCCAATCACACTGAACTACTCAGACTAGGAAAAGCTGAAGGAGGAGGCAAGTCCAGGTGCTGTTCCAGCTGGAGCTTAGAGAGGCTGCTGCCTCCACACAAGCTCCTGTACTGTGATCTTTGCACCATCCTGATGCCCCCAGAAGTCAAAGGCATTTTGCTGGAGTGCTGGGTTGCAGCCAGAGGGAGGGGACAGAGGCTGGGGGAAGGAGCGAGCAGGGTTGCTTTAAAGCCCTATTCACATGGAAGTGCAGGGTGTGGATGGAAGCCACCCAGGCTCCAAATTGCCCTGAGGACAGGTAACTGCAATCCAAACTCTGCCCTTTCCTGAAAGTGTCGTACCCACTCGTGTGGCTGATATGCCCGGCATGGTGGCCTGGCAGCAGAACCACTTGCAAAGGGCTCACACGGCCTAAGGTGAGACCATGCGAACGTGAGGCGAGGTCCTAGGGCTTGATCGGCTAAAGCCAGCCCCTGGCTCTCTGCCTGGCGTGAAGCCACGAACAACTGAATGGCCTGACTCAAGAGACAGTCCTCATTACTGTCAGACTGAATTTCAGACAGCAGTGGGAGATCAATATTTCCAGAGAGGGAGTGAAATCTAGTGGCTCAGAGCAGGGAATTGGGAGTTCCTTGCTCTTCCACTGATGTCCTGGGATGTCTCAGGCAAGGGACTTACCTAAGAGCTTTTGGCCTGCCTCCATTTTGGACATCTGAAGTGTAGCAAGCTGGGTCCCCAGAGCAGTGGATGCTTTGGAAAATATTAGCCTTGCGCTCTGTGCCTCAGTTTCCCCCTCAGTAAAACCAGTATAACGGTACCTGTCTACCTTCCTTTGCACAGGGACGTTGGCTGGCTAATCAATGCTTACCAAGGTCTCTGAGCTCCGTTGATGGCAGACGCGATTGATATGCCCTTATCACTTCCAGGCAGCCCCCCCGTACCGAAGCATTGTCGCATCGCCTTGCATGCAATGAAAAGAGAGGCTGGCTCTGACGGACGGACGGATTGAGGTCGGTTCTCTTTTTAGTGGGAGCTGGAATAAAAACATCAATTATTCAGCAGAGACGCAGCTCTGTTATCTTTACAGATGCGCTCCTCGGAGTTTAGAAACCGCAATCTGGGCACCTGCTGAGTGGCGGGTTATGCCAGCCTGAACTCCTTACATGTGTTTCTAAGTGCCCATCATTGTGGTATTTGGGCACTAGGCAAATGGCAGCACCTTCCATCAGAAGAACTCAGTGTTCATAAAACACTTCAGATGTCCCGACCTGCCAGTGAAGTAGGGTTGTAAGTACCATCCTGGCTTCACAGAGGGGAAACTGAGGCACAAAGACTAAGGAACCGGCTCAAGGCTACCCTGAGTGTGTGTCAGCATCAGGATCGGACCTTGGTGCGCCTGGTTGCCAGTCCAGCACTCTCAACTCCAGGCCACCCCTTTCTTAGCCCTGGTCTACACTACAAGGTTAGGTCGAATTTAGCAGTGTTAGATCGATTTAACCCTGCACCCGTCCACACGACGAAGCCATTTTTGTCGACTTAAAGGGCTCTTAAAATCGATTTCTGTACTCCTCCCTGACGAGGGGATTAGCGCTGTAATCGACCTTGCTGGGTCGAATTTGGGGTAGTGTGGATGCAATTCGACGGTATTGGTCTCCGGGAGCTATCCCAGAGTGCTCCATTGTGACCGCTATGGACAGCACTCTCAACTCAGATGCACTGGCCAGGTAGACAGGAAAAGCCCTGCGAACTTTTGAATTTCATTTCCTGTTTGGCCAGCGTGGCGAGCTGTCACACCGAAGCCTGGCCAGTCATGAAACTGGTTTTCAAAGCCTCTGTGATGCGCAGCGCGCCTCGGTGTGCTCTTCTAATCGCAAACAGCCTAGTCAGCAAACAGCGCCAGCGAGATTTTAAACGTCCAAAGGCACATTCTACTACCATTCTGCACTTGCTCAGCCTATAGCTGAACTGCTCTTACTACTGTCCAGGCTTCATGAGCTATGGGAGCAAGGGGTAGGCTGGGGTAGGTGCGATCGCTTGATGCTACCGACTGGGAGAGCAGCCTGAGGCAGAAGCCTCCAGCTCGCATGATATTCCAGGCAGGACTGAATCTCCATTAGACGAAACTTAAAGAAGAGAATGACCTGGAGTCTCTCCCATTTATGTCCAGGTGCCCCCAACCGACCTCACTGAGGCTGGCCAGGAGCACCCACGTCTGCCCAGGCGCCCCCGACCAACCTAACCGAGGTCGGCCAGGAGCACCCACGGGACGACGACGGTTAGCAGTCGTATTGCACCGTCTGCCGTCCGCAAGGCAAGGCAAGGGGATGCTGCTGTGTAGCACTGCAGTACCGCGTCTGCCAGCAGCACCCAGGAGACATACGGTGACAGTGAGCTGAGCGGGCTCCATGCTTGCCGTGGTATGTCATCTGCACGGGTAACCCAGGAAAAAAGGCGAGAAACGATTTTTTGCCGTTGCTTTCATGGAGGGAGGGAGGGAGGCCTGACGACATGTACCCAGAACGACCCGCGACAATGTTTTTGCCCCATCAGGCATTGGGAGCTCAACCAGAATTCCCATGGGCGGCGGAGACTGCGGGAACTGTGGGATAGCTACCCACAGTGCAACGCTCCAGAAGTCAACGCTAGCCTCGGTACTGTGGACACACACCGCCGACTTAATGCGCTTAGTGGGGACACACACAATCGACTGTATCAAATCGATTTCTAAAAAATCGACTTCTATAAAATCGACCTAATTTCGTAGTGTAGACATACCCCTAGGAAAGAGGAAGAGGCCGGGCCTTAGGAAGCCATTATGTCCTCACTTCCGCTCCCCGTGGCAGCATCTCTTCAGAACCGCCCCTGCAGGCAGGCTAAAGTGGGGTGGAAGGGTGTGTGTGTGTGTTGGGATGAGAGCGGGGGTTGGGAGGGGGGTCCAAAAGCTATGGGGACTGGGAATGCACCCGTAATGGTCCTGGCCCGAGGCAGAATGCTCTGGGGAAGTTTTCGTGCAGTGTGGCACGGGGCAGGGAGGGCTGGAGATAAGGGATGGGGATGGCCAGAGGTTTTTCGGTTTCCTGGGCATCTGCTGAAACCATTCTCCTGCTGGCACTGTGGGCTCGAGAGCCGCCTCCTCTGCAGCTCCTGCCCTGCTCCCCGATCATCGCATCTGATCGCCGTCTGCTGCTGGTCTCCGACCCCAGTGAGGGGCAGCTTCCCCTGCCAACCCCTGAGGCTCCCACTCCACAGGCAGAGTGCCTCAGTCCCTGTACGGCCCACGCTGCTCCCCAGTCACTGCACGAGCTGCTTCCCAACCTGCCCGTGACCTGCTCTGCCTGACCTCATGGACCTGGGCCACACCCTGCCCTCTGCTATCCTGCTAAAGCCAGCGGGGGCATAGAGGAGGGCAGAATTGGAGGCCTGCTTGTGCCAGCTTCCCTGCTTGCTCGCACAAGTCTCTGCATCGCCCCTTGCTGCTCCCAGTGCAAGAGCCGCCTCCTCTGCATCTCCTGCCTGGAGCGGCTCCGCTGCAAGGTGTGCCCCTGCTTTGGGGTCCCCGGTGAGGCTTCGGGGTGCAGAATGGCTGGGGTGCAAATCCACCCCCACCATGTCCCTGCCTGCTCATGCTGCACCTCTGCTCTGCTCCCCCCACTTCCCCGAATGCCTCTTGTGCTTAGGGGTGGTGCAGGGACAGGGGCATGTCTGCAGACAGGCCTTGTACCTGCTTTGTGGGCTGGCATGGAGGGGCCACAGGCTGATGTTGTCTTAGCTCCACAGTGCCCTCTCCCCCTGCTCTTGTGTTGATTAACTCGGGGGGATTGTCACATCCTCTTGGCATGAGAGAGGATGCCCGGCATGAAGATGCAGCGTATGAGTGTGAACAGCAGTTATTAGAGATGGGGTCTGAACCCCAGGGTCAAACATGTCCCCCTGACTCTGGGGGCGATCAGCGCTCTGGGACTTGGACCCAGCTCTGCTGGAAGCTGTCCTGCATTGATACCTCCATGGCTATCAGGCCAGTGCCTAGCCATGCCCACCTGGGTGGGGCACCATAAGGGGTAATTGCAGGTGGTGAGTAGGAACCTGGTTGCCTATGTGACCTCCCCGTCTGTGGGCGATGACCTGGGCTGTGTTCCACTGCAGGACGAGACCAAGGAGACGGACGGGAGCCTGCTGGGCGACCCAGGTCACACTCCCCCAGGGAAGAAGGGGCACGTGAAGTGGCAGAAGCCGCGGCTCACGCGCAAGGCGCTGCTGAACTGCTGTCTGGTGAAACGGATCCTCTCCCGCGCGGCGCCCCAGGGATCAGGTAACGAGCACGGAACCGGGGGCTGGGCTGGGACCTGGGTTGTCTCCGTTTGGTGTCAGGTTCTGGATAAGGGTCTGGGAATCTCTCCCCTCCAGACCAGCTACACGGAGAACTTCCCAAGCCTGTAAAGTTCCACCTGGGACCAGCCTACCCAGGTGAGGGAGGGTGGGGAATGGGAATCCATCTGCTTCCATATCTGTGCCAGCGCTGCCAATCCCCCATACGCTGGCAGAGCACACTCCCTTTTGTGCCTGGCCCCATCCGACCAGTCTCCCTGGAGCAGCCCTGCTGAGATGCTCCTGCCCTGGAAGTGGGGATGGGGGGGGGGGTCAGTCTCTTATCCACCTCCAGTCCAGGCCGGTCATAATCCTGCGTAATCCCCGGCTCCTTCCTAGAACATCGCTCTGAGGATTAATGCCACACTGGAGCGGGAGCAGCTGTCGAGATCCAGAACAGTCTGAACTTAAAATCCCCTACGTGGAGTTCTGTGCAGCATCCCATCAGCCGATTCTCATTGTGTCCCCAGCATGGCCCCCTCCCTCCATCCCTCCCCTGCTGTCCCATCCGATTGGCTGCTGAGGAGCAGCATAATAAAGCCTTATGAACACTACAGACCCTCCATCACAGGGGTCTGGGGAGAGCCGGCCTTTGCCTGGAAGGCCCCTCCCTCTCCCAGCCTATTTTGACGTCATCCCACACTTTCAGCCTGGGTCACCGTGACGGTTTCCCAGGTTCCTGTATGGAACGTGCTGCTGGGGTTTCTTTCAGTGGCTTGGGACTCGGGGTATATTGTGCCCTTTGTGGAAATGGTGGCCCCCCCAGAAGAAGGTCCCGTGCCGCTTCTGGAGAGATCCGCTTCTTCCCCCTCCTCCCCCAACTTCCCCCAGCCCTGCTGCCTCCTAGCTGTGACAGGTGTCAGCGATGCAGCGTGGTAGCCACGCGCTGCCCAGCGGGATCAGAAGGTGACTTGTCTCCAGCTTCATCCCTGCTGATGGAAGCAGCTTCAGGCTGGCCCATGAGCAAAGTGTCCCCGGCCCCCGCCCTCAGAAGCACAGGGCCCCAAGCAGTTGCTTGTACTTGGAGGCTTCCCTGTAGGTCCCTTCTGGCTGTGCTCTGGCCTGTGCATCTGCTCGGGGGATGACGTGTGTCTGCTCTAACCCAGCGTCGTTACCTGGTTCCATGGGAGCTTTGGTCATGCCAGGCGTACGTCTGGAGCTGCAGAAGTGGGCTCGTGAGTGTGTGTGGGGGCAACTCCCTCTGGTCAGCAGTGATAGATCTGTAGCTATTCCAGGGTTAATGTTGCAGCCGAATCACCCGACTGAGGAAGTCAAGATCTGGAATTCACTTCTAGTGTAAAAGAAATCTGGGGCTGGGAATAGGTGTGATCACCCCGGAGTCTGAATTCTGGGGTGGATGGGATCCAGCTGCTGGCTAATTCTTCTGTCTCCCCCGCCCTGGAAACCACTGCAATAACCCACCTGCACCGGAGAACTTGCTTCCTGACTCAAGCAGAGCAAGGCTTTCCCTTCTCCTGAGAGGCAGGAGAACAGCTCTGCCTATGGAGCTCTGCTTCCCTCTGCAGGTAGCCTGCGTGCTCTGCAGCATGGAGAGATTCATTCCCGCTACCGCTCTGCAAGCTATAGGCTGGATGCAAGTGTGTGTGCCTGTGGCTCACTGCCAGCGGAGTGGGGAGGGACGTTTGCTGGTTTGCCAAGGGCAGAAGAACCCCTACGGTTCCCCTGTTCATGGCTCATGGTCCAAAACAAGTACTTGGCTTGTCTTAGCTTCATCCGTCTCCCAGACGTTACTGGGAGACGCTGGAATGTCTTCCTCTGCTGGTGTGAGGCTGTGATTAGATGCTAGGAGGTCAGGTGTGAATGCATGTGCTGCTTGGCTAACCTCTAATCAGACAGTATCTCAATAGATAAACTCTAGCCGGATCCAAGCCTGTCCACCCCCCTCCATAACTTAACACCACAGCTGCGTTCCTGAGGAACCATCTCATCACAAGGGGAAGTCCTGAGCCTGTGTAAATAATGTCCCTTTTGCAGGGTCAATGTGCAGGGACTGAACCCTGGATCTAAAACCATGAGCTGCTACTGCCGGAAGCAAAGGACCAGATCCTTTAGCTCAGTGGTTTTCAACCTGTGGTCCGCAGAACCCTGGGGGTCTGCAGACTATGCCTAAGATTTCAAAGGGGTCAGCACCTCCAGTTGAAGTTTTTTAGGGCTCCACAAATGAGAGGCCGAAAAGCACTGCTTTAGCTCATTAGTAGCAAACTCCTCGATAGAGCAGGGTGGAAAATAGCTTTTCTGTCCCATGGCAATGTTTGAGAGGGGTTTTTTTGGGCGGGGGGACAAATTCCTATCTGGATTTTGAATTCTTGAAAATCTGTCCCATTAGGGACAGTTGGATTGAGTCAATTGAAGTGTTCTGGTTTTGATTTTGAGGTTTATCAACTTTTTTTTACTAGAAATTAGCTAAAATTTCAAAATGAAAAGCCATTTGGAACCAAAAAACGAACTTTTTTTTGGTTTAAAAAAATGGCAAAATGGGGCTTTCAACAACGTTGAAACTTTCCTCCCCCCTCCCCTCCAGCAAATTTGCCACAATGGCCTCTTTCCTACAGAATTTTGCTTTTGACAAACACATTTTCCAACACCAAAAAAAGTTGGTCAAAAAAATTCCTTTCCCATTGTACTCCTAAGCCCCCATGTCATGTAGGCACTAATGGGAACCAAGAGCCAGGCTGATATCAACGTGGGTTACGGGGGCATTTTCCCAGCAGCTGGAACTCACTGCCACGAACCTCTGACCTGTGCAAAACAGGCCTCCCCAGCTTAGCTTCACCCCAAGAGAGGGTGCAGGGCAGGCAGAGACCCTCCCTGCAATCGGGAGTGTAAAACCCCACTGCTGTAACTGGGACCGCTTGTCTGAGTGTGAATGAGGGCCCAAGATGCAGGATAACAGGGAATCAGGCTGCTTGTCACCAGCATCAACAGAGAGGCCTAGAACTGAATGGGCCATAGGGACTGAACTTTTCTCTTTCCTTAATCCTCCTGGTCAAGGCAGAGGCACATGGCACATCTCCCGTGCCCTGTTAATGCAGTATCTGTTCTGTGGGAGGCAGTGGCCTCTAGCAGACAGCGCACCAGACTGGGAGTCAGGAGACCTGTGTTCAGTTCCCAGCTCTGCCCCGACCTGCTGGGTGACCTTAGGCACTGCTCCTCTGTGACTCAGTTTCCCCCTCCCAATGTCTGTCTGATCATGAGCTCTTTGGGGCAGGGAGTGTCTTAAGGGCTATGAGCATGTACAGCACCCAGCACAATGTGGCCCTGATCTCCTGGGATACAAAGAATTGTCTGCAGGGGGCATGAGCTGGTAACTCGCTAACTAAGCAGTGCCCAGTGGTTGGAGGTAGAAGCTAGATGAATTAAAAGTGTCTGCTTAATTTCCACTCTGAACAATGAGGGTAATTAACCACTGTAAACAGCTTACTAAGGGTTGTGGTGGATTCTCTGACTGGCCATTTTAAAGCCAAGAGTGAAAGTTTTTCTCAAAGTTCTGCTCTGGTTCAGACAGGAATGAACTGGGGGGTGTCCTATAGCCTGTGCCATCCAGAAGGTCCTATTAGATCTCAGTGGTCCCATCTGGCCTTGGAATCAGTGAATACATCCCCTTCCAAGGGCAGGGGCTGAAATCTCTTAGGCAGCGGTTCTCAAACTTCTGTACTGGTGACCCCTTTCACATAGCAAGGCTCTGAGTGCCACCCCCTCAGCAGGGTTTAGGGTGGAGGCTGACAGCTCACGACCCCCCATGTAATCACCTCACGACCCCCCGAGGGGTCCTGACCCCCAGTTTGAGAACCCCTGCTCTTAGCTGTAAAACCTCCACTGCTGGCTGTCTGCAGTTCATCCAAATGAGCCAGGCAGGAGTGAACCCTAGAGCAGCTGCCACCATGGGGTGCCGGGTGCGAGGATGTGTCCAGCTAAGGCACTGGGGGAGCAGGCTGCAGTGAAGGAAGTGGCAGAGGACAGGTTGGGTCAAGGCCTTGGCTACAGTCTCTCACAGCCGCCCTCTTGGCCAACGTGGGATTGAACCGACCGGGGGACCTCCAGAGTTAAAGGCTTGAGCTGAAGAGCAAAGGCTCCAAGGATGGGGGGCAGTCAGTCAGATCCTCTGCGGATTAGCACAGAGGGGGGCCTGTGCCGCGCTCGGCACTGCTAGGAAGTGATGCCTCAGCCCTGCCACAAGGGCTGGGGGTCCAATTACACCGAGAGAGGCAGGAATTGTCCAGCACTCAGCACCGTTATTAATACCTTGCTGGTATTCTGGGCACCGCGCTGCCACACGGGGAGTTGTCTTTGCCCAGTGAAGGTCAGGAAAGCAGAAGGGGTGCAGGAGCCTGAGACCTGGTGGGAGGGGGGAGGAGCTGATCCCCCCCTCCCTTGAGTGGGGAGCCCCTTGGCCCCACTGGCTTCCAGTGGAGATGGGAAGGGGGAAGGGCCCAATTCTGTGCGGTGAGGGGAGCCTTTGGTTCCCACTGAGCTGTGCACGCCCTTCCTGGGAACCACTGCATCCTGGGGAGGTTCTGATCCAGGTAGCCTGGGTGCCCAGTCCCAGATGCTTGCTTGGTGGGCATGCAGCCTCGTCTGGGCAGTGGGGATGTCTCATTGCTCAGGGCAAACTTCCCCACTCCGCTAAGGGTCGGGTCGGGCCCGGCCAGGGGGATGGGCACAGATGTGGAGATCAGGGGGGCTTTGATGCAGGCGAAATATGGGAGAGGGGGAAGTGCCACCAGGGACGTGGACTGACCTCTCCTGCCCCCGGCCTTGCTTAAAAACAAGGTCGCCACATCTGCCTGGAACACGCGAACCACAGGGTCCTGCTAACATGTCCTCATGCAGTGCCCTGGAGGATTTAGAGCACAGGACTGGGAATCAGGACTCCTGGGTTCTATTCCCTGCTTGCTGCTGACTTCCTGTACACCGTGAGCAAGT